TACACTGTCCCTTTAATTTTTTTCTTTTTTGTTATCACAGGGAAAGTAAATATCCCCTGTAATAGCAATAGGAAGTGACAGGTAATCTTTTCTGAGAAAGCTGGGGTCTATTTGACTCTAGATCTCTCCTCTGCCCTTAAAGCATCTGATTGCACCAAGATCAGTGTGATCAGATGCTTTACAAATTTTAAAATGGCGCTGTTTATATCAGGCGAAATGGAAATAATGAAATGCTTGTAGCTTCCGTTCTCTTAGACCTCAGAGGTGACTGGAGGCATTCCGGTCTCCGATGGTCAGCCAGCAGAACTGCTGGCTGCATTCTCGAATATCCCTGAGGAACGGGAGAGTCCAAGGAAAATGTGGAAGGCAGCAGGAGGCGAGGCATCCTTTCCTGCTGCTTGTACAAAGGATCCAGTGACTAATTCACCACTAGGATTGCTTTGACATGAAAGCCAAGCCCCAGCTGGAAAAAAACAATACCAGGATGATGCCTGTAGCTCCACGCATCGTCCTGGTATGACCAATCAAAGTCCAGCAATGTACCAGTATGTTGCTGGTCCTTGTTGGGTATATATATAACAGCAGAGAACACGGGCATATGATGAATCGGGTCTGTGGACCAATATGACCACAATTCATTCTTATTTGTAATGTCCATGTTGAGGGTTAGGCCTAAAAAAGTTTTAAATTGGGAAACCATGATAGGTTTCCATGTGAATTGTCTGGCAAGAGCTGAATTTGGGTGGGTGGCCATGTATTGTTGTGCATATAAATTTGGGCCACAATCAATTAATACAAATCTGCCATGAAACACAGTGGAGGGGCTAAACGCTAGTGCTGACAGCGAATGGGGCTGATCATGTTAACACTGTGTTTATGGAAGCACTATACTAAGGAACCACTAGTATAGTTCTGTTCGTGATCAATATATTGATCCGTACAAATACTATACTAGTAATGATGGTGATCAGCGACCTATAGTGTGAGTGATAAAGTGTGCAGGCAATCTAATGCTAGCTGACCCTGGCTGGGAAGGGAGCTTATAGACCCTGACGTTATCTGGTGTCGCTAGTGACAGGAATGCAGTGATCAGTGAAAAAATTCTACATAATGACACTGTACTAATGGCACTGGCTGGGTGACAATGCGATTAAAGAGTTAAGAGGGGCGATCAAAGCGTTAAAATCATGAAAATCATGCTGTTCTTTAAGACCTCATATAGCTTAAATGCATCTTCCAGTCATATAATTTTGAAGTGTAAATTAAACCCAAAATGTTTTCAAAATTATTATTATTATTATTATACAGTATTTATATAGCGCTAAAAGGTTTGCTCAGCGCTGTACATTATAGTGGGGGACAGAACATGAGACAATACAGTAACAAAACAAAACACGAGGGATTCAAGGGCCCTGCTCTTTCGAGCTTACAATCTAGGAGGGAGGGGATAGTGGTACAGGAGTAAGTGGCTGTGGGGGATGGAGTGGTAGGAGGAGTGGAGGAGATTGGCTGTTAGGTGAGGGCGGGGTAGGCTTCCCTGAAGAGATGGGTTTTCAGGGTGTGCCTAAAGGTGAGGAGGGTAGGTGACAGTCTGATGGATTGGGGTAGTGAGTTCCAGAGGATGGGGGAAGTCTTGGAGAAGTCCTGCAGTCGGGCGTGGGAGGTGGAGACCAGGGAGCTAGAAAGTAGGAGGTCTTGTGAGGAGCGAAGAGTACGGGTTGGGTGGTATTTGGGTATCAGGTCGGTGAGGTAGTTTGGGGCAGCATTATGAATGGCTTTGTATGTCTGTGTTAGTAGTTTAAATTTAATGCGTTGGGCAATCGGGAGCCAGTGGAGGGAATGACAGAAGGGGGGTGGCAGAAGCGGAGCGGTTGGTAAGGTGGATGAGTCTGACCGCTGAGTTCAGGATAGACTGAAGCGGGGATAGTCTGTGATGAGGTAGGCCAGTGAGAAGGGAGTTGCAGTAGTCCAGACGTGAGATAATAAGGGAGTGAATGAGTTGTTTAGTAGTGTCTGGGGTTAGGAACGTACGTATTTTGGAGATGTTGCAGAGGTGGAGCCTGCATGAGTTTGCCAATGATTGGACATGGGGTCGGAAGGACAGGTTTGAGTCTAGAGTGACACCTAGGACTTTGGCTTGTGGGGTGGGACTGATGGTGGCGTTGTTGGTCGTGATGGAGGCGGTGGGGGGGGGGGCACGGGCTGGGGAGAAAATCAGGAGCTCGGTTTTTGAAAGGTTCAATTTGAGGAAATGGAGCGACATCCAGTCTGATATGTCGTTCAGTAGGTGGGTGATATGGGCGGAGACTGAAGGGGTGAGGCGAGGGGTGGAGAAATGTCTTTACATGCTGTTTGGCATTATATACATGATGACTTAATGACTGTATCATTTGTTCTATGTAGAGTAATAAAAACCTGGTTGATACTGTCATTTGCTAGTGCTTACTCCTTGCTTGTTTCCACGCTGCAGCATGAGAATCCATGGATCACCAATGGCCACCTTTAAAGCGCATGCTCAATTTTCCATGAACAGGCAACAAGTTTGCTTCCTCCTATGTCCTGTTCTAAGCAGCCTATGTGACTATACAGTAATCATTATAGGTGCCTCCTCTTTCATTCCAATGTGTTACTAGTCACTAGCAGGGTGGATCTTACAACCATGATGGACTCTGCCTCCACTATGTTAACACACAAATAATATAAACACATGCTTTTAAATAACCATTTATATGAAACTTTAAAACTATTTAGTTTTTGCATTCCAAATGTGGAATACGTTTTTGTATTTCTATTTTGCATTCCAAATGTGGTTTTTTTAAGTCACATGACTGCTACATTGCCAATCAGCACTATGCAGACCCAGTTCAGACGTCTGTAGATGATAGAGCATACATCATCGGATAGCTAGAGGCTCCTCCTACAGATCTTTCCCTGCAAACGGGAACAAGCAGGAAAGATCATGTGACCTCTACACAAGACATAAAAATTAAGGTAATTAGAGTTTAAAAAATGAGGACTGGAAGCATCACCTACTTACAATTTAATTACAATCAATGGAAGTTAAAAAAGGAGATACAACCTGTTGTAACCAGGCAATCAGTTCCAATGCTGCAATATGAAACATTGTACCCTCCAGCATCCCTAGATGTAAAGAAATCTTTGCAATTATCTTACCAAAGCTGAAACTCCTAGTGAAGTAAACCTATTTTCATTGGTGGAAGTTTTGTAATTTGAGCACAAACTCTTTCTATGAGTGGAAGTTGAGAATTCTGGGAAATCCTGCCTAAAATCAAAGTACACTTGTATGGCTAGGATGAATAGCTGAAGTTTTTGACAGCAAATCATGTAGTCTTTGGAATAGAAAGACCATTTAATAACCTTAAGTTAGAAAATGGTAGACCCATGATTTTTGGAAAGTGTGTTAATAGCAAAATAGGCACTCTGGTTTATATTAAATGTGTCCTTTAGTGTTGAATGTCCAAATATCCAATAAAACTTTATACTAGCAAGTATACTGCAGACAAAATTTGTATTCTGTATATTCTATATATCTATGCTGTCTGTGCACATAGTAAATACAAAATTACACCATGATACAGCAGGGAATAAGGGGTAAACCAAGGGCAGAAAGAGAAAAAAGTGTTTTCACAAAGCACAGCATTTCATGAGGGATGACAAAACATTCTGATCAATAAAATCTCCCCAAGTACAATCTAATTTCAGAAACGCACACTGTAAAAATGCCTATAACTTTTTCCTCCAAGAGATATAAAACCACCGATTGGTATTATGAAGTAAACCACAATGGAAATAAAGGTAAGGAGCATGAAACTAACCTCGGTCGCTAAAAACAAAAAAAAAAAATCAATTTTAATATGGTTCTACGGTTCAAATGTGTGATCAGAGGAAGTATTTTAGAACTGTATCTGAATTAATATCCAATACATAGGGTGGATGTGGTAATCTGGTTCTGAAAATAACACGGGAGTACATACCTGTCCATAAAAATTATTTAAAGAGACACACAAGAAAAATGTTTATATGTACAGTAATAATTGTTACTAAATGGTGTTTTTCTGGTCAGCTAGTCAATGAAAGCAATATATGTGCTTTAATCAAAAGTATGAGACTCTATTTCATGTTTTCATGCCAAGAGAGCTTTTGACCCAGTACACTGGAAATTCCTCAGCATATACTTAAACATGTGGGCCTCGAGGAAAATATGAGTGGCATCATGCCAGCTACTCCCATCAAGTAGCGGCTGTTCAAGTAAATGAAGCTTTATCTTCTGACTCCCCTCTTATAAATGGAGCATGACAGGGATGTACCTTCTCCCCCATCGTTTTTGTTTTAACATTAGAACTACGACTGCACCATATCAAGGCAAACCCCAACATTAACCACTTGCCTACCAGGCACTTATACCCCCTTCCTTACCAGGCCAATTTTCAGCTTTCAGCGCTGCCGCACTTTGATTGACAATTGCGCGGTCATGCAACATTGTACCCATATGAAATTTTGATCATTTTTTTCTCACAAATAGAGCTTTCTTTTGGTGGTATTTAATTGCCACTGGGCGCTTTACTTTTTGCGCTATAAATTAAAAAAAGTGCAAAAAATTTGAAAAAAAAAAAAAAAGTTTATTTGTTTCTTTTATAAAATTTTTCAAACAGGTATTTTTTCTCCTTCACTGACTTGCGTTGATGAGGCGGCACTTATGGGCACTGATAGGCAGCACTAAAGGGCACTGATAGGCAGTACTAATGAGGTGGCACGGATAGGCGGCACTGATAGACAGCACTAATTAGGGGTCACGGATAGGCGGCACTGATATGCAGCACTGATAGGCGGCACTGATAGGTGACACTGATGATGGGTACTGATAGACGGCACTGACTGGCATCACTTCTGGGCACTGACTGGCGGCACTGACTGGCACAACCCCTGGGCACTGACTGGTGGCACTGACTGGCAGCACTGCTGGGCTGCACTGGTGGGTGGCACTGGTGGGCAGCACTGGTGGGTGGGCACAGGTGGGTGGCACTGGTGAACACAGGTGGGTGGGCACAGGTGGGTGGCACTGCTGGGCACATGTAGGTGGCACTTCTGGGCACAGGTAGGTGGCACTGCAGAGTGGCACAGGTGGGTGCACTGCTGGGCACAGGTGAGGGCACTGCTGGGAACGGGTGGGCGGGGCTAGTGGGCGCACTGCTGGGCGGAACTTGCGGGTGTCACTGCTGGGCACCGATCATCAGGGCACTGATCATCAGTGCCCTGATGATCGGTGCCGATCCCCGCTCTGACAACTGCCGGTTCTCGGCAGTACTTTCCTCACGATCTGACAGCGTGAGGAAAGTGCAGCCGAGAACCGGCACTTGCATTTCCCTGTGATCAGCGTGTCATTGGACACCGCTGATCACGTGGTAAAAGGCCGGTGGGATCGGCCTTTCACCACATCACGTGATCAGCTGTGTCCGTAGGACACAGCGATCACGGAGATCGCCGGGTGCGTGCCCCAGAGCGCGTTCTGGGAGGACGTCATATGACGTCCACTCAGAACTGGCCGGCCGCGGTGAAGCCGTCATTCGGCTATGCGCGGTCGGCAAGAGGTTAAGGGCTTAGAGACATCCAAAAATCACTTTTAAGCTGCGTATGTGGACAACCTTCTTTTCTCTCCAACATACCTATAGTTCTCTATTCTTATTCTCTTAATGTTAAAGTTAATTTCCCCTTTAAATGGGCTACTGCTAGCATTAAATATCTGTTATCTTGACTGTTAACTTATCCCTCTTATTCACAACCAGCAAACAAGACCTCAAATGATAGAATAGTAACAGCTACACCTAGTCTGGGAGAAAAAGTATCTTAAAAATGAATCTCTATTCTCACTTATTGTATCTATTACAAGCTCTGAAATACAATTTATTCCTCAAGTGCGGCCTGTGCTTTCCAGATCCCATAAAATACCACCAAGCAGTACATTTATCCATTCACTCACCCAATGCTGTACTGGTGCAAATATTCTGCATGTAAAATCTGGGTACATCTGACAGGACGCAATTATAGCATCTCTTATAGCACTCCCCTAGCTACAGAAAACTATTCCCATCTCTGCCAAACACTATCCACTTGTGGTGGCACTCTGTCCACAATCTTTAAAACTCATGGTATCTTCACCCCTCACATCCAATCATCCATAAAGAGTGTTGTAATGGGTAACCCAGTTTCCCACTAGGCCTACACTATCTTTAATTTGGACCACTTTTTCTTACCAAACAATTCAGACTCCGAAACTTCCTAGTGGTAGGGGGCTGAATTCATTCTGAGATCATGAACATCACTGAACCCCATAAGAGGCTCTGGCAAGCCATGCAAGTTAGACATTTCCTTACATCTTTTGTACATCTTTACATGTCCCCTTCACATGACCAATACCCTAACGGCATTTGAATTACATTGTATAGCTCCAGAACCACTGCCCGTGCCCTATTCTTCATTTACAGCTTGCTCACCAGTCCAGCTGAAGACTTCACTACTCTATATTTTTTAAATGGGAAAGGGACCTAGGCAAAACTTTGCCCCATTAACATATCTTCTGGGAGGGAATGCCCTCTTTTGCTTCCCCTTTGAGAAGATATTAAAAGCCTCATCAACTCAAAGGAATAGCCTCTAGTCATGCAGCCTTTTTCCTTCACTTCACTCTGCTAACCAAGAAGTACAAATTAGGGATGCAGCGAAATTTTGGTGGCCGAAGCGTTTCGGCCAAAAACACCCCTTTTGGCCTTTGGCTGAAATGAAAAAAAGCACCAATACAGGTGCCGAAAAAAAACCCTCCCCTTGCCGCCACCGCTCGGTAGTTCTCAGCCTTACCTGAGAAACTATCGATCCGGCGCAGGGCATAGAGATGAGTGAAGGAAAGATGGCCACCACTCATCTCTATGCCCTTGGAGGACCGGAGAGATGTCACTTCCCGTTCCGGCCATTTTTTTTTAAAGCACTAGATCAATGCTTTTTTTGATCCAATGCTTTACATTGTAGAGGAGAGATGTGGGGTCTTATTGACCCCATATCTCTCCATAAAGAGGACCTGTCACTAATTATTTCTATCACAAGGGATGCATGCATTTATTGTGATAAGCATAAAAGTGATTAAAACATTTTTTAAAGGGACAATGCAAAAAAAACAAAAGAAAAATTTAAATAAATTAAAAAATGGTGAACGCATACATAGGCCATGCCACATATGTAAACGGTGTTCAAACCACACAAATGAGGTATCGCCATGAACGTAGGAGCGAGAGCAATAATTCTCGCACTAGACCTCCTCTCTAACTTTACCCTACTAACCTGTAGAAATTTTTAAAGCATCACCCATGGAGATTTTTAAGTACCGCAGTTTCACGCCATTCCACGAGTGTGCACAATTTTAAAGCGTGACATGTTGGGTATCTATTTACTCGCTGTAAAATCCTCTTTCATATGTTACAAAAAAATTGGGGTATATATTGTGGTTTTTTGTTTTTTTTAATCACTGTATTTTGTTCCAAAAAGATATATATTTATTTTTAAAAACTGCGCATTTTGGTTTTCGGCCAAGTGCATTTTGAATCTTCGTTTTGAAATTGAATTCTGGTTTCGGCACCAGGATTTTCATTTCGGTGCACCACTAGTACAAATGTTCCCTACTTATTCGCCTTCTTAACTCAGCAAGATCATGTACACCACTAAAGTGGAAGAGTATTGAGCCCCATCTATTGGCTTATGGATCTTGGTAGTTAGAAGAGAAGTATGGCCAAAGCTTTTTAGCCATAATTCTCTAATGGATCACAAGAGTGCACTTATTTCTACACCCCTGTAATCCAGATTCAGCCAATAGCAGGCTAAAGCCTGCTGTGGGCAGATATCACAGATCCATTCTAAGAGTCTACAGGGATCCCAACAATAATGATGGGATCCACCCAGATGCCTGACCAGCTGTTGGCTCAGGTTCTCAGCATGCCACCCCCACCCCCTCCACAGCCCATTGCTCCAGCGAGCATAGTTTGTTTGTTTGTTTGTTTGCTATCCCCTTTAAGAGGATAAACAGTATGGAAGAATTTACTGCCTCATTAAAACACAGGGAAGGTACATTTCATTTCACCTGGTTATAATTGGAATGATTTCCACTTCACACAGGATCATTGAGGCCATGTTGTGAATGGGACTTGACTAGAAGGCCACAGGAACACAGGATCTGTACACTGAATGAGTGGCCTTGGGAAGGGGGGAGCAGGAGGAGGCTATCTCCTTCAGTCCTTTAACTTGTTAATTGTACTCTCTGGCTGGGCTCCCTTTTTCTCATTTCCCGACCTTCCACTTTCTTCTCATTCCCACTGCTCTTTTGTTCTACTTTTCCATCTCTGGTCTCTTCCTCTCCTTTTCATTACCATCCATTCATTGCTTTTCTCCACCTTCTATGTCCTGTTCAATGGCATGAAAATTCTCATCCACACTGACAACGCTATAAGGCCACATGTAACCCACAAGGTTGGACCAAGGACCAACTTTGCCATATTTTATATTTCTGTCTTACATAAAAATTACCAATACCTAAACGTATCTTTCTTATAATTTATCTGATGGAGTACTTTGAGTCTACTGTATGCTTTTGGTTTATTAAACATGCATTCTTTTGTCAACTGTTGAATGACTAAACAAACAATTGAAAAAAAAAGACTCACGGAATACCAGAACGCCACTCAAACATGTACCCAGGCTCCCTGTCCTCCTGTTTCCAGGGTTGTGGGCAGGTGGGAATGGCCCTGCATACATAGTGGACATGTCCTAAAGTACAATGTGCAATTAGCAATGTTATTTAATGTCGATATTAAGGCAAAAACATATTTCCTATTTTATTTTCGATATAGTAATAAATAACTCAGGGACAGGACTCAGGAGGGCAAGAAATTAAAACGGGCAGGCAAACACACATGAAATCAACTCTCACAGTGATACTGACAGTAGTGTGCAGCAGCACAGATGATGATGACATCTCACCGACATGACACGTCCCCTCCTGAGTCACAGTGATGGTCTCTCTTCACACCAGGTGGTCCCTTCAGTCCACTCCAGTCTAAATAGCACTGACAGTTCCACTTGCCTGCAGACCCACACACGAGGCTCCGGCTTCTCGGCTCAGCAACCTTGAAACATGACATCATATGACGCGCTCAGGCACTGTCTCCAACGGCAGCTCCTGAACACACTGTAGCAGGCACTTGGATGATCTCGTCTGGCTCCAGACTGGAACTGCGCATGAGCTGTTCCGAGCTATGCATCACAGGGTGATTGGCTGGGCCATTCTAGCAGCTTTATTTTTTTTCTTTTAAACCAATTGAGAGTTTCCTCGGCTTTATGTTTGGGATCGTTGTCTTTCTGAAATGTCCACCCTCGTTTCATCTTCATCATCCTGGTAGATGGCAGCAGATTTTTATCAAGAATATCTTGGTACATTTTCCCATTCAGCCTTCATTCAATGTTCCCATCTCCAAACTTCACTGTTGGTATGGAGTTTTTGGGGTGATTTGCAGTGCCATTTGATCTCCAAACATGGTATGTATTATGGCATCCAAAGAGTTACATTTTGGTCTCATCTGACCAGACTATATTCTCCCAGTATTTCAGGCTTGTCTAAATGTTGTGCAGAAAACTTTAAATGAGCTTCAACATGCTTTTTCTTCAGAAATGGAGTCTTGCGTGGTGAGTGTGCATACAGGACATGGTGGTTGAGTGCATTATTTATTGTTTTCTTTGAAACAATTGTACCTGCTAAATGTCGAGTTGTAAGCAGGGCCTAACGGAGCCTGATTTGGCTGCTCAGCAGGTGCTAACACTGTGCACCCAAGTGCTTCCATGTGTGAGGGTAATCTGAAGTAATGAAGTTGTGTTTTTTTTTTCTCATTGGAGCCGGCACCTTATTTACTCGCTCAGCAGATGCGCTTCTGCTGAGCATTAAAAGAGCCCAACACTCCCCTTTCCTGATGAGCACCCAATCAGTGCTCATTACACTGCAAAGTCTCTCCCCTCCCTGCTAGTCCCCGCTGCGGTGCTGGAGAGAGGCAGGGAGGGGAAGAGGAGATAAACAGTCCACCATAAATCCCCTTAAGAAATCCCTTTCTTTTTTAAAAGCCCCAGACATTCCTAAAAGCACTTCAGATTTAAATACTGTTTTGGCTGAAATTATTATTTTTTTATCAGGACAGGTAGATTGGGACCTCCATTTAGTACCTTGGATAAGTAGTTTTTTTAATGAGATACTGTATGTGTCAATGTATGAATATAAATGAAGAATCCAATAGAAGCAAAGTGAAGATGTGAATGATCAATTGTTGTTGAATAGA